CTATTCCCCTCATACAGCCACTCCATTTAGCCCTGGGCTCTGATCTCAGCCTGGCAGACGAGCAACTTTGTCACTGGAGAGTACGATGGGGTGGGAGACAAACATCGTAGGAGGAGGGAAAATGTTGATTTGGATCTTTTTCGGATGTCGAAATGATAGGGAAAACATGGAAAGGGGGAGAGGAGAAAGAAAGGAAAAGCCAAAAAAAATGGACACTAAGGAAGAGCATGAGAACATGAGATTAGGGAGATGCAGGCTATCTTTTTTTTTTTTTTTTTTTTTTTTAAGTTCACATGTCAGGCTGGCAGGCTGCCGGCGGCATAGAGCCGAAAAATCTATTTAACGTCTGCTTCACAGGGTGACAAGAGGGTTGATTGGCAGAGAGCAAAGAGACGCTTTTGATCATGTGTCCTAACAAGCGATTCCAGCTCATGTCTCTTCAGCCTGAACAGATCTACATTACCTATTCAAACAAAAGTGACAGACCAGAGCACTGCTCCGCTGGGCTGGTGCTCCACGCCACAGGCCAAGAGAGAACACTCACACATGCACACACACAAACGCTCGGGAAGGCCCCCCGCCTACTTATATACAAGCGTGTACACACACACACACACACACTCCTGCACAAAAGTATGTCGGCTATTTGAACAAATGGTACGAAACTTGTTGACAGAATAAACGACATATTATTAGTAGGAGGCGAGTACGCGGTGCACAGGAGGGATGCTGGGGCTTTGCAAGTGTGTGTGTGTGTGTCCTGCCAGGAGGGGCCCAGACTAACAGTCCGACAGGACGCTGCATTCAGTGAGCGCAGCACACAGCTATGTGCGAAGACTGCCTCAAAATCTGCAACCAAGGCAACTGAGTTTCCAGCCTCATTGCATATGCATGGAGTCAGAGGCTCATGCTCAGATCATTATAACAAAGATTCCTATTAATTAGGTGGGATAAAGCAGAACCAGATGACATGGCAGCTGGGATGAGAAGAGCGGGGCGAGGGAGGGAGCTGAAAGAGGAGGAGAAAAGGTGCATCAGTCTGTTTGGGGGGGAAGGGATGCGGTGCTTTTTATAATATAATGTATAATACAGACACTGTGCTCTACAGAATATGTCTTACAAAACCCTTTTAGTGCCACATTCAGGCTAAATAAATCCCCCAAAATAAATGAGTTGGTGCTATTTAGCACCTGCAGACAAGTCACCTGTGAGTGTCCATGTGGAGTCAGCAGGGGCTGTGACACTGACAGGGGACGGTGTTACAACAGAGTCAAGAGTTCATCAGTGCTCATCAGACCACAGGCTTAGAGCTGATCCCATTCTTTCCTAAAGCTTTCACCCTTCCCTGAATCTCATTACATGGCCTGTTGTAATAGAGGATAATGACCTGGGGCTACACACACAATGCTGATCAACCCCCCCCCACACTCAACCTACTGCACAGTCATTACACAGTGATAATACACATCCTCGCCGGGAGGATTACGCTGAGAAATGGAGGAGAGGTGGTGCAGGAACAGGGAGAGAAAGAGAGGTCTAAGTGATAACGCAGGGACACATCTAACAATGTTCCCGAACAAAATGAGTTCACCGTGGCTCACCGAGTTGTACTGTTTTATGTCCCCGCCAATGGATAGGTTACCCGCCGCTGAAATAAGGGAGACTCTTTCCTCAGTATCCATTATATGTCCTTCGACCGGAGGTTAAAGGAGGTTTCACTTTGGTTGAACTGTGGTACGGTTCCCCATTGCTAAGCTAATCAGCCGTGATTCTGTCAAAGGGCTCCAGGTGTTGAGTATTCTGCTTGAGCACCTACTGTATCCACTGTGACAGGTCTGAGGAGCCGTAGTATCAAGGAAGGGCATCGTCTTTGTTCCTATGTCTTTTTTATATGTCGGTGCGTTTTCTTTGCCAGGGAACTAAACTGTGACGGATACCGGAGGCATTGCAGTTTTGGTACTTATTATGCAACAATTAAATTATTATTAAAATTAAAATAAACTTTAAATTTTTTTTACTCTATCTCAGAAAACCACTCAATAACACAAAAAGAACTTGATTACATGTGCTCGATTTACGGCCAAGAACTCACCCGGTAGATACTGGGCCTAAGGAAGTCCCTAGGACAGGGAGCTAAAACCCAATTACCCGTCCTTGTCTTGGGGGACGATCATAAAGATTCAACACACAACGTATTTTTTGTGTTGACTTAGACAGTATTGATTCATACTTTAGTGCATTATATAAAACTGTTCTAATTGCATGTGAATCAAATCAAGGTCACCTTGGGTTTTTATAATGGAGGCTGTTTTTCCGTTTCCCCCCCAATACTTTATACTGACATTTTTAAGTCTTGACAAGTGCTGTCCGGAGACTTATCCATAAATAATGCATTTACAATACCTAGTAAATAAACATGGGGCACAATCGTTAGCCCTGCTGGCAACCGGGCCTAATAGAGCTTTTACAGCAAAGGTGACTATTCAGCTAAATGTGGTGCTCGCTGCTGGGAGGACATTTTTATTCATTAGCACAGTCACAAGCACTTAAAGCACTTCAAGGACCAGAAACGGAGAGGAAGGGTGGAAGGACGGAGGGTACAAATATACAGCGATGGAAGGATGGGGAAGATAATGAACACCGCCTCTATTGTTATGTTATTCTCTATTATAAGGCATCAGGGTCAATGAAGGAAACCCATGAATCTTTTGGCTTTGAATTACATTGTACTAAACAGGAGTAAGACCTCTTCTTTTCTTGCAGGTGAATTTACATTTTTACATTTTTTCAATGTGTTAGTTAAGTACATTTTAACATCAGCCAGAAGAAATCCCATAAATTATTCAACATTTTTTGCAGCTAAAGACGGAGAAAAAGGTACCTGAATTTTGTTTTCTCACTCAGGGCTTTCTTAGGTGTCATTTAATGCTGTGATACAATGGGGTTGAGTAGAATCTAATGTGTTCATTGGTTTTCCCTCTACATTACAGGTCCCTACATTTATCCATCGGCACAATGAACTGTCTCGACCAGACAAGGAGGTCCAGAGAAGAATGGAAGCAGATGGTGAAGAATCCCTGAGGACCTTTTGATCCCAACCAGACAGCCACCGAAGCAGCAGAATCATACACAACAGTTGTCATGCTTTGATGAGCAATATATTTAGCTCATCTGTTGCTTTCGCCACGTTAGCACCATTATTAAGACAACAAATGGCTTTTCCAACCTTCTATCTTTTTAACTGGTTAATTCTGCCCATTTTTAAATTTTCAACAGTGTCTCTCTTCATAAACGAAGATTTCAGCGAGGTTTTCCTTTCTAAGAGTCCCTCTTCCTCCATTTTACAGTAATCACTGATCATCACCACTAAAGCTTCCTCAAGTGCTCTCGAGAAGAGAGTAACTCTCAGTTCCTGCAGCTCGGGGACGGCACACTGAACTTTGTGAGGCTCTTGTCTTCTGCTGTGTTCTCTACAAAGAAACTAATTTTCTGCAACAAGGGAGTGTATTTAGGTGCCGATGATACGCAGCGCATGAGGCAAAGCAAGTCTCTATTATTAACAGGAGATTAAAACAGCTGTATGGCACTCTAAAGCACCCTCTCCTCCCTGCGTTAACATACGGCCCTGGATTACAAGCTGCACTTGACCATTTAAATTACTGCAACAACCAGCCTTCACCAGCTGGGGCTCATTAGCATAACGCCCGCTGTAGCTGCAGAGACCACTGACAATATTGGCCTGAAAATTAACTCTGCCACAAACATGACATATGTATGTATACATGCTTACCTTAGGATAGAACCAAGAAGGGTTAACAGAATCCCTTTACTTTTTTACAAACCAAAATTGGTCCTATGAAGCACTTTGGGAGGTGGTTTTCATGCACATGCCGGCGTCAGCTCTACATGTAGCAGGCAGACTGCCTATTGAATGCAGAAGACGCCGTCATGAACGCCCGGAAAACGTGGAAACTATTTGCAGATTGCAAGTGTGTCTGCATTAATTGTGATATGCTCATGAGGGTTTCACGTCTACACTTACTTCAGTGGTCATTAGATAATATAGAAGAACATCAATTACAGTATACTGGCCTGTGCACCAGCATGTTTGGTGTGTATAATCTATCAAATACGTCGTTTATAGGTGTTTTTTTTACCTAAATCAGTCTTCGTATCAGGTCGTGGCTGAGAAGCCTGTGATGCTCTGATACAAAGATCACTAAACGAACACTTAAAAAGGAAGTGGCAAATTATTTTTAGGCTAACAGAGGTCTAATTTATTCGTCTGATGAAGTGCTTAAGCTAAGAGCTCCCCAGACACTAAATGAGACACATGCATTCCCAAGGGGGTTTAACATTTGATTGGATGTAGTTATATTACCGCAGCCCTAATTAAGAAGGGGGGTGTGTTTCAGCACAGCTCTTTCAAATATTTGTTTTTCCGCCATACTCTTGATAGACTGCAGGCTGTGGGAGAAACGGCGTGTCGGTATGACAAAGACCTATAAGTCTAATCAAGTATTCTAGCAAAATGAAAGGTCTGGAATGTCCATGATGCGTTCAATCGGATGTGAGAAGCGCTCGGGTTGTAAACTTTGATGAATAGCTGCGCTAAATAAAAACTGTTTTGTGTAGCGAAATACAAAGAAGTAATGTCCCTGGCATCAGGTCAGCACTATAAAACCAGAGTTTTATAGTCAAAGAGTTTGCCTTGGCACTGAAGAAAGACCACACTGAAGCTGAGGTGCACTGCCACACAGTCTTTGTCACATTGGAAGATGTTCATAACAAACTGAAAAGGCCGTGTCGTCAGTGTTGCAGCTCGTGTGTGTGCGAACATTAGTGTAGGAGACGTGGAGACGCAAGAGAGCAGAGGCCGACTGCCAGGAAGTTAGAGAATAATGAGAAAGAAAGGGGGAACATTGAGAAGATCAGGCGCACTTGGGACAAAAATTGTATTACGCACACACACACACACACACGTACACACTCAAACATACCGTCTTGCTCTGTCTTTGTCATCTCCTCCAGTTTCTTCTGCTTCAGCGTGTCCACTACGTCTGCCAGGCTTCCTTTGCGGCGCTCCGGAGTTCCAAAAGCTGATCCGCTCAGCAGGTCACTTCGCTCCCGGGCCCCCTCCTCCGGCTTGTGTGGTGAAGTGGAATTGTTCCGGAAGGAGTACAGGGAACATACTTTATTGCTGTCAGATTCCTGTAAGACAGACAAAAGGTTGGGAGGGGTGGCAACAGGGACGGGATTTGTATTAAAAGACGAGCATGTTTCGGTGTTCTTTCAGGGTTGCGTTGAGCTTTTGACAGTTTTTCATTCAAATGCAGTGATTACTGGGTTTTCTCTGCAGCCCGGGGGGGCGAATTGGCCATATCAAAAAGCTCCTTTCTGGCTTTCAAACAGCAACTTTTGTGACGCCAAAAGAGATGGCTTCTCTGTAAATGAGATGTGACAGGTGAAAAAACGGAGCCGTAATGACGAGCTACACTTTCATAGGGCATATCCATAATGCGCTCCTTACTTTTCATCTGCAGAGACTACACAGAGAAAACCTCCCAACTGTAATTTCCCAAATTACTTTTGAGTGTGCATTTGTGTTAGGGTGACTGCTGTGTAATTTTTTCATTTTCGAGTGGAGACCTATTCTCGGCTGAGTGCCTTGAGCCACCGTAAATCTGTGTCCTGTCTCGAAGATGTTGTTGTTTTTCGGTCCCACCTGTGTATGGTTTAGTATTTAACTAAGGGTCCTGTCTGTGACTGACTGGCTGAGTGCTCCCCGTGCACAAACAGAGACATGAAGGAAATGGGGAGAAGAATGGGAGAGAGCTTAGGGGGGAAGAGAATACTCTGCACGAGGGAGTGTGCAGTCAGCACACAGACCACGGTGAAGGTTGCGTCTGACAGGAGGTGGTGTTAATTATGGTCTGTGGAGTTTGAGAAAGCAGAAGGTGGCTAAGCAGCCAGGAGTTTGCAGCCTTTCACGGGGGAACAGTTTGCTCTGATTTAAACGTTGGGCTCCGTAGTGAAGGGAATAAACATGACACGCGTCTGCATCCGGCACAGAGTGCAGGCCTGTCATGGAAAACTGGGCGGCAATTAACAAAAGTGTGATAACGAAGTTATACACCAGGTATACCGCAGGGTTGGATGATAGAACCACTTTCTCATCCCTGCGCTGCATGCCAAGCTCCAGGCAGAGTTGCGATGGTTTGAAGGGTGGTCTGGTACCAAGCACCAGGGTGGCACGACCTACCGACCTGCTCTGCTCCTCCCAGGCCCGTGTTGGATGATTATGCAGTGTGGCAGAGACAGTGGAGAGTACTTGAGGGGAGTGGAGCAGCGCTGGGTTAATCAGCTGGCAAAGGTTCAGGGCACAGCCCACACAGACGCATGGTACGGCAGTGGAGTCAGATAATCAGCAAAGGCAACACTTTCAGTCCATGCGCCTTATGTCTTCCCCCGGTCTCCACCGCTCCCTGTCGTCCTCCATTTTACCTCTCCTCTCTCGGGAGGGAGAGTGAAAGAACAAGATTTTGGTTTCTTCTTTGTTTTTTTCATTTATTTATTAATTACTTACTTTTATTTATTAATTACCTACTGAGATAAGGCGTGATATGACTTACACCAGGCTCAATAAGTGGTATCTCGGTATGTATAATTGATCAAGTACATATTATTGTAGTTAATTTCTATTTTTATCCTCCCGAAAGAAAATCCTGTGACCACCGTCGGCATGCACACCCCATCATCATGCTACAGAGGCCGTTCATGAGCCGGGTGTCCGTATGCGTCAACTTCAGAGGCCCTCTGGGTCTCTTTGCCACAGACCCGTAAACCACCTGCCTCCAATGTCTATAGCCTGTCTAAGTGCCTGCGCTCTTCTTCAATCCACACTTTTAAAGAATTTACAGCGTCTGGGATCTTGCTGCAGATGTGGTTGATACGCAACAGGAAAAACAACACACGTGCACCAAGAACAACATGTTTCTTTAATAGCAGCAGGAATGCATCATGGTCTTCGATTGGTCATGATGCAATGTCCATCTAATTAATAAAAAATGGAGTCCCAGGATCCCGTTAACCCTAATATTAGCCGATGTGGTTTAATCTTTGGCAGAGCTGCTTATCCAAAGCCTGAAATCCGGCATCCCAGAAGTTTCAGGATCCAGGAGGATCGTGGCAGCGATAGAATATTGCCGGAGCGTCTTTCTACAAGCCATGAACAATAGGGTACTTCTGATCCAGGATGTTTAATCCCAAAGAGAGGTGAGTGAAACAGTATAGCACACTTAAAATTCTAAAAAAAGTTATCACTCACGCTTCCCCACAAGAGGGTTTCCTTTAATTCCATCACTACCAAAGGCATCATATAAGAAGAACGAAAAGATGGACATGGCTCACCATGCGCTGTTGGGCTGACACCAGGCTGTCCCAATCGCTCTCTTGCGGCACGCTGCTGAGCGGCTGCATTTCCTCGGGATGGGTTTTTCCATGGAGCAGGCTGTGCAGGGGCAGCTGCGGAGTGCCGTGGGCCTCGGCGCTCTCCTCTTTCTCCCAAGACAAGTGCTCCTGGCTCATGGCGTCGTCCCCGTCAACGACGGAGGCGAAAGGAGACGTGGCTTGCTTTGAAGACATCACTCTGCTGTGGATCAGGAAGTGGAGAAGTGGAGGTCAGGAAAGGTTTATCAACAGTACACGAAAAGGAATGCAGTTTCGTTGAGCGTTTCATGAGCCCCTGGTTCACATGGTTGTGCATAGTTGTAACTGGGTTTGAATGCACCTGGGCAGATAAAGCTTCATGGACTGAATGCTAAACCTGTGTGTTGCCTGTAGCTGCTCTGGGTTGTGAGGTTTGGAGCAGGCAGTGGGGTTCCTAATCCTTTGTTTAATGCAGATGGATGGCTTGATCTAGGCCTGGAACATTGCCTCTTTGGGTTTTGGCCCAAACAGTAACTCATGCAGTAGGTCAGCCAGGCAGCGCGACTATCATGCAGAGAAAACCTTACAAATGAGTTAACTCCTTCAACTGTGCTGAGAGATGTAAAACAAGGCTGCAATTTCCTGTGTGAATCTTCTTTTTTTCATTCATAAGTTGATTAGATTTTGTCCTTCGATAATTGAATGATCTCACTTGTGCCAGTCAAGTTCACTCTGAAGCAATCAAACGCAAAACAAAAAGCAGCCTTGTCTTCTTTTGTTTCCATTAGGAAACATTTTGCTTTGACAGTCTTCCCTCGGGCAACGAACCCTACTTCAAACCTTCAAAATCAAACTAGTGTAATAGTGGAGGACTAAAGTCTCAAATCTATCGCATGCTTTCATGAATATCACTATTTGAATATTGTACTTGACATATCAGGTGCAAAGGTAACTCATGTTAATTCCTTTACAAACAACTCTTTTTGGTGCAGAAATTATACAACCGATTCCGCTTTTTCTCAGAAATAATAAGGTTAAGGTTAATAAGTTTGCTACAATGAATGAAACGAAACACTGCAAAGCAAATCTAATTATGCATTTGGTATTAAATTAAAAAGGGGATGATATGGCCTTCCTACTGATGTGAAGTGGCGAGAAGGAGCTGGAGTATATTTAACTCCTAATCTGCCATATGCCTGAGCTTTTGTTTTTTCTCAACCATAAGACACTGACCATTACATCTAAGAGGTGATTCCTTAGGGCTCGGTTTTCTCTTGTAGGTGGCTGCACATGCGTGTGTGTATGTGTGTGTGTGTGTGTGTGTGTGTGTGTGTGTGTGTGTGTGTGTGTGTGTGTGTGTGTGTGTGTGTGTGTGTGTGTGTGTGTGTGTGTGTGAGTGTGAGCGGGAAAGACCAATTGGGGTCGTGAAGGACTGTTTCTTTGTTTGTATGTGACAAAATGCTCAGGGAACTTGTGGGCTGCATTCGATCGCTGATCACTACGTGCCACACTCTCCTGCTCTATCCACAGGGGTCAGTGTGCCAACACTAACTTCTGCCTCGGGGGTTTGGGGGGGGGGGGCTCTCAAGGTTGAGGCAGGCAGTGGTGCTATGGTGTCCTTGCGCTTTCTGCTGTGAGTCAGGCACTGGGAGATAGGGAAAGATTTGTTCCATTTACAGAGGGCTTTTATGAACAAGGTCTTTGGTTCTAACAGTTATTGGTTTTACACAAGGAAGTATGTCAAATGAGGCGTATTGTCCATGCACACAGGCAGGATTTGTATAGCAACTTTCAAAACAAAGTGCTTTACTAAATGCATGAAGCAACTTTTAAAAATACAACAAAATTAAAAGAAAACGTGGAACATAAAAATGTCAGCAAATAAAATATGGATAGTCAAAATGGAATTCCATAAATCCATAATAATTAGCTGAATTGTTTGACGTATTCATTTAGATGAGATTGTAGTTTTTCTGCATAAGTAATGCAGATGGATTTGTATTGAAATATCATTCAGAAACATTCATTTTTATATCAAAATAAAAGCTGACTATGCAGCACCACACTCTCCCTCTCATTTAACCCCACGCACCGTCACAAAGTCACAGATCAGCCTAAATGAATCTCATGTGTCTTTGCAGCTGTACAAACAAACCTAGTACATCAGGTAGATGGCAAGGCAAGAGAGGGAGACCCGTGCCTGTCTGTCTTTCCTTCTGACTTTTAGCCTCAGTGCCTGGATGTGTTGTCAGCTGTGTCTTTACTCAATTTTAATCAGCCATTAAATTGTTTCCTCTCATTATATCAAACAGAAAGTGATCTCAAAACTAGGTACCGTTGATTGAAAATCAAAAGTCAGACCAAAGTTCTGATCAGGCACGCCAGGCGAGCAGTAGTTGGATTTGGGGGTTTGGGTGTCTGTGTGCGTGTTTGTGCATGTGTGTGTGTGTGTGTGTGTGTGTGTGTGTGTGTGTGTGTGTGTGTGTGTGTGTGTGTGTGTGTGTGTGTGTGTTGGAGGGGTTTGGACGCATAGTTCTGATGCATTTTTTATTCATGCACCAAAAAAGGCCCAAGCCTCGAGAGCAACAAGGACCGTGTCCTCAATGGAGTGTGAGAGTGAAACAAAGCACTGCTTTTGTATTACACAGTAAATCAAGTGGTATTATTTTACCACTAAAATATTCAGTCTCTCAGGCACTTTTACTTTGGTCTCCAGCCATCAGTCAAACTGCTGAGGCGTGAGCGGGAGAAGAGGTTGGTGAGAGAGAAAAGGAGAGAGCGAGCGATGGAGACTACATCCTCCTGTAACATGTGTCTACAGCAATCTTGTTAAAGAATGCAACAGATCTGCGGCGGGCTCCATAACAGTATTTGTCAGCAGGAGTTAATAATTTATTAGCAGTGCTGGGAGGGCTGCGCTCAGGCAGCTTAAGAGTGCCGAGAACCCCAGCCCCACCCCCACCTCCTGACAAGCCCCATACAATACTACCTCATATTATTGAAAGGGAAAAGGGGAAGCGTGGCAGTAATTCTCTGAAAATATCTGAGGGCAACCATACGGTATTTTATTCCTCACATTTGAAGCAGAGATCACACGGAGCTGAGATCAAAAGGGGTTTGTGTGCAATAGATCAGCAGAGATACAACAATTTGATGAGGTTAAAAATAATAAGAATTTGGCTGAATGTGGGTGCTAGCCGTGCATGTAAGATTCACTCACATATGCTCAGAACTAGACTGTTCACAGCCATGGAGCTGCTGTTTGCAAAGTAAATTCAGCAAAGCAGCCTTGTTGGTACAACTAGAGTGTATTTGGTTTATGTTGAAATAACCATATTAATAATTGAATCAGTTTCTCTGCAAAATAATCCTAAAATGTGCTTTAGCATACAAAACAGTGAAAATATGGGGAACTGCAGACGAAGCTCATGACTCCTTGACAAGCTGCCCTCCCTCGTGCTTGATTACACAACAACAATATAGAGGTGGAAAGAAACCAAAGTAATCAATAAGTGCATCCTGCCTTCATTCTGACAAACAAAGCCGCACAGACTTTGAGGACTTGGGGGAAGACGTGAGCGAGGGTCAGTTGGTAGAGAAGTGGCCTATATATAGCTGACAATATTGCACACATTTGAAGGATTAGGACTTAAGTTCTCCAGCTGCGGGCTCAAATAGCCTGGAATGCTTTGAGTCATGAATTGTTCCCTGCGATAATGTTTCATCATCGTGCAAAACAACCTCCACTTAATTGGTTGTGTGGACGTGTTATGCCCTGCTCATCTTGTGACCGAGGGGCCGTGTGTCCTCGGCTATCCCATTTCATGGTAAAAGGGTCCGACTGATTTTCACCCGCTGCATCAGCTCTGTCACACTGTTGACCTTTTATAGACAATGGTGATAAGTAACTGAACACCGTGCGCCCGACAACCCCCGACCCTCCCACATGCCCACGTGTGCGTCTCGATTCTGATGTCTTGCACCTTCAAGTTCAGATCACAAGCCCCAGAAGGGGGGGGGGGGGGCTAATATGACACTGTCTTCCTTCAAAAATCAAATCAATTATTAAACACAAGAAGATTTTGTTGCAAAAATAAATAATGGGATGTGAGCGAAGGCGATAACAGCTTAGCCCAAAGGACACTGAGAAGAGAAGGAAGGTTCATTTATTAGTCACGTGAAGGCGCTCAAATGCTGCATTGGTGCCAGACTTTGGTGACACTTTTATCAAAGTTAATGTGGAAGGATGGCATATTCATCTATTATGCTCCATCGCTGATTGAAAAAGGCTTTCAAAAAATGAAACTACACATTTCTGTGGAAAGATGCTTTTTATCTAAATGTGGGCATATTTTTTTCCGTGTAATTGGTCTCAAAAGAGTTATTGGCTGTGTCCAGCAGATGCATTTAGCTCAACTAATGATACTACATGAGAATACAAGACCAAAATAGTAATGCTAACCAGACTGCCATTATGAGCAGATCAATGTGTATGTCTATGAATTGCTGGACTCGATGAGATGATCTGGGAAATATCCTCAAGCCAAACTACTACTTTTTTCAATGCCAACGCATTGCAGTTTGCCTCAGTCATTTACGTCATTCATATTATACATTTAGCCTGTATTATTAGCTGGCATAGACCAAAGTCATGACAGTTTTTAAAGAAGTTGTAACATTTGCAATCACTCACCAATTCTGCAGTTGCCTGAACAAAATTAACTTTATTTGAACATTGAACGTTTACTTATAAGTTGTTTGACTGATCTTTTATTTGAGCCATAAAACAGTATGTTAGATACGTTTTTTTTTAAATCTGTGACATTGTTTAATTAAATCAATTTCAACAAAAGTAATCATCTTAATAAGAAACAGCTAAAGAGGTTTGTGGGCTTCAAACCGTGTGTGCGCGCGTATTTGTGTGAGACAAAGTCATAGAGAGAGAAAATCCTCCATGTGTTTCCCTTCAGCGGTTCCTCCTGTTCTAACAGGTGCCATGGTAGGGTTCCTCTGGGTTCTTCACCTGCCATAATGAGATATTACTACCTGACAGCTCCCAGCTGGAAGAGCATTGACACGGAATCCACCGTTTAGCACAATTAAATTATCACCCTCCATTGTGATTGTGCCATGCTGTGCAGCAGCCAGGTCTCTGGATACATAATCAACCGGTAACACGGCTGCACACTGCTCACAGTTCGACTCATTTTCAACACACACAGT